CGGGAGGTGAACGAAATGAACCCAGACTAAATATTACCTGGACTAGCTGACCTCAGCGCTCAGTACGGGAAATAATTTAATTTTATTAAATGTCTAAATTAAATTAAAGCACAATTAAGATGCAGCTCAGAGAAGGATGGACTGCAATACAGATTTAGTAAAGCCTGTTTATCGATCCCGTGGGTAAAGGAAAATAATTATCCAATCAAATTGTGTTCCTTTGTTTTGCACATTTTTCATTGCATTTTCTGACTCCAGCTCTCTTTATATATATTTTAAGTTTTAAATGTATTTTTTCTCTAGTGTTACTGAAACAAGGAAAACTATCATACATTTTAAGGTATACTGTTTTGCAGTGGTTCCCTGTGGATTTGACAAGAAACTAGCACTGTCAGCGTTAATCTCATTAAATTGACGTTAACGCCATAACCGCATTAACGCGGCAATTCTCCGTTAATTCAGTTATGGCGTTAACGTAATTTTAATGAGATTGACGCTGACAGCACTACAAGAATCTAAATGAAAAACAAACAAACCCTAAAATTGAACAAGCAAGTCTTTACGTTCTCCATCTATAAAAGTGTACCCACACAACAAAGCTGAAAAGCTTTAAATTGAACGTCACTTTTCACCAGAGCCTCTTAATTTTGCTGAACCTCAGTAGCAGCAGCTAGTTCCTCCAACTATGGAATAACCCCCCAAAATGGATTATATAACAACGCACGGACAAACTTTTAACTCAGCAGACGCTAAACCTTGTGTCTCTCACCTCGGCCTCTCTCTTGATGGTGTCCACCCTGCTGATGAGCTTGCAGTAGGCCTGGAACAGCAGCAGCAGCTGAAAGTGCAATTTGTAGAGCCTCCGACATAACTCGAGCTCCTACAGAGACAGAAGACAGAAAAACACACTGTCACATCTCAGCAAAGCGATGATCTAACCTGCACTGAATCACTCTGATCACATGATTAGACAGATGGGTATCCTGGGTTAGAGGAAGAGATGAAAAAGTTAACACGGAGGGCCATTTGGTTTGGACCATGGTGAGTCTACTATAGGGTCGTCCCAAATAAAATAACCCAAATTGGAAAAATTGGTCCCACCTGACCTGAGTCAGCAGAATCAGATGATTTTATTTATTATATTAACTTTAGCTTATTTAGTGAAGGGATGCAAAATTTTACCTGCACACTATGAAGTACATGGAGATGGGTTGAAAAATGTCATAGCGTGCAGGTACATACTGCACAGCTTCAGATACCAAACAAAAAAAAGAAATCAGCTGCTTCTGATGGGGTCAGATGCGAAATACTGGCTGATATTTCATGGAATGACCCTACTGCTAGAATTAGTGGTGAAATCTTAAATTAGAAAACCTAGGGCATCATCTCATTGATCCCTCAGCATATAGAATTGATGAGTGAGGTGTGGGAAAACTAAAAGTTAAGCCCCTAATCTCGGAGGAAATGGGAGAAAATGATTTGAACAAATGGGAATGGAACAATGGAATCATGCAAAATGAAAGTGAATTCAAACCTAACAACACTGGACTCTCTAGCCATCATATCCTACTGATAACGGAGCAGCCCTCTGAAATCAGGTGGCAACTCTACACTGAATACACATAGATAGATGAATTTATCTGCAGACACAATCAGTGCAACAAGCAAACAGAAAAAATGCAAACAGGATAACACGGTACGTTATGATTGGGTGGGTGGATGAAGAGGTTGAGCTGGGTTACATGACCAATCAAGCAGAAACATAGACAGAGAAATGGGTGGGGGTAGAACACAGTCTGTTTCTGCACAGAAAGATGAGATGTCAGTGTTTTGTCCGGTTGGCAGCATTATTTAAGTCTATAATATGAGAACCACTTACTGCTAGATTTTCCATTTGCTAAGCAAGAAGGTGAGCAGGTCACACACACAAACAAACAAACAAACAAAACAGAAGGAGAGAAAGACCAAGAATTAGTGAGCTTTAACATGACAGCTGAGACACAGTGACCTGACGAGCAGGAGCAGTGCTTTATCATCTTCCCTTCACACGGGTCAGATAATGTGAGCTCACGTCAGCAGTAACAGAAACCCTTATTCTGAAAAGGTGAACAACAGCATGTGCGATGATGGGCAGAAAAGACACGGTGGCTACGCAGAGAGGAAGGAGGAGGCAGTGAAAGACCTCTGGATACTTCTGATTGAAAACAGAGCGTCAGTTTAACCCAAGGTAACATCTGTGTGAATGTCAAACACAGAGGGAGCTCCGCAGATCTGTCCAAGGAGCTCGGTGTAAGAGAAACCTACAGACTAAGACGTGCAGTGAGAGATCATGCAAATACATCAAGGGTACAAACTTTGTCTTAAATCTTACATTTTTGAATTGAGGAAAAAAGTCTAAAAAAGTCCATCTGAAGTCATAGTTGCAATTATGTTGTTGAAGACAAAAGTTATTTACACATCTTCTTTAAATCTACTGTTAACATGTTTATCACCCAAAGCTATAAAAAATGGTTGCTGGCAAATTGTTAGAAACACTTCTTGCCCTCAGGGTTTATGTTTAACTGGCAGCTGACAGCGCCACTGCCACAGCAGTACAGAAATGTTACTTAAAGAATTTTTTTCCTCTGCTTGCCTTTCACAATAAAAGAAAAGCTGTTCCCCTATATCTCAAGTGGTCCCCACAGAAGATGAACCTGCATGTTTGATTTGGCACAGACATTATCCCGGATGTCGTTCAGGATGCAAACCTTAGATTTACCTGCATGAGGAGTACGCTAAATTGAACCGTCGATCTTTCATGTGTGTAATGTAAACCTTATGTAAGATATAGCTTTGTTTTTCCTTCCCACTGTTGTCAAGGCTGCTCATAGGGCACCGTCTGATTGTTAGGGTTTTGTCTCTATAATTGTAGAGTGTGTTTACCTTGCAATATATAAAGCCCTTAAAACAACTGCTATTTTGATTTGGCGCCACATATATAAAACTACGGCACTAGTTAAATGAAAGATCAAACATAATCTCAGTTTACCACCAAATAAACAGAATGACTGGAAAATGTTTGAATAAACTGCATAGAGAGGCTGTTACAGAAGTTCTTAATTATTCATTAGCTAATTATTATCAGTAAGTACAATTTAAGGTAATCATTAACAACTCATGATTACATCAAACTTCCTTCAAAAGTGTCCTTAAAAGCACAGACAGGCCTAAATGAGTGCACTGTAATAGAAGAAATAGAACTCAAAAATAAAATTAATTTGCAGATGTCATGCAACTGTGTTTTAATGCAACACTAGCACTGTTAGTAACACTGTTACTAGAAATGTAACAAGAATTTTGCACATTTTCACAGGCATGTAACACAAATGGGATTTCCAGCGCATATCAGGCAGCAACTGGGAGGCTGAGCACTGGTAGCTGACTGAGACACAGGGCCATTTAATGGGAATGGAAAGTGCTGTTTGTGGTATTGAGGAATTAAAGCTCATTGAAACCTAAATGACTGTACTGATACATTCACATGCCTTTAATATGCTGCAGCTGAAGACCTAATTAGTGTAACGGCACATTAACGTCTCGGGTTTGATATGAACCTAAGTTTTGTAATCATGGTTTGACTCAAAATGATTAGCTGGTATGCTTTCTTTGCGCTGTGAGAACAACGACTGGTATAATTAGCGGATATGCGGGCCAAAAATTGAATTTCCTTAACGGAGATAAAATAAGTGAATAAAAAACTAAATCTTCAATCATCTTTACATGTTCATGGTTATCAAAGGCATTTAAGGAAATGTGATGCCGCCTTTTCTCTTTACATTGTTTACTCACATGCAACCAAAGCATGCTTGTACATAAATCCCTTAGTGCACTGCTGACAGTAACTGTTTAGCTCATAGCTAAATGTTCTACTTGTGTACATGTTTCATTGATAAATAAATTTATCATTGCATTTTACTAATAAGTAACTTGTAACATTATCCTGTATCCGCAGGAAAGCTGGTGCAGGTTCTCGCTTCTTTTAAACCAACATGGTTTTCTTAAAGAGATGCGCTTTGACTGGCTTGACGACACTTCGTTAATGTCTTAATGTCTGTAATGCTGTGTAATTTCAGTTGGACGTTACCGATTCAGCTGCAGTGCAACACTTTCAAAAGTCAAACCGGTCAATAAGTATGACAAACAAATTCATGCATTGTAAAGTAAAAGTGTTCATCCTACCTGTGCATGAGTATTGGGTCGCTGGCTGCTGTCTTTGTCCCGATGTTTTCCTGCAGTTCTCGAGCCACTGCGTAACAGGCAGGAGACAAAACAGGAGAGAAAACATAAAAGGCTTAGAGGAAGGAGAGAAACTTGGAAACAGAGGCATTTACAAGGCTTTTTTTTACCCCATGGACATATGCATCTACATTGTGTGTGTACATAATAAAAGGAGGAGATTTAATATGTGCGTTGTATTTAGCGAATTAAAGAAGGCCTGTTCCAGAGCATCCAGAGTATCTAGCCCTCAGGGAACATTGCAGTCTCATTCAATTAGCGCCCCTGCATCCCAGAGCTCTCTGCAATCTCATCTCTTTTTTCCCCTCCCTTTTCCTCCCAGCTCCAACCCCTCACAGCTTCTCCCGCCTGGCCTTCTGTAACTGATTTAGGAGAGCTGAGGGTTATTTTTATCCCTTCAGCATGGTTTCTCACTGGTGATGCAGACACTAACGGCAGCTGAATGTACTCATACTGAACACTGATTCAGTGTCTGCAGCTGCTGATGAGACAGACTGGGCTTATCGTGTGCAACATCAGCTATTCGTCTTTATGTTCTCCTGGCTTTTTGCAGTGAAACTGCATAGAGATGAAACCACTTTACGTGTTTTAAAAATAAAGAGGATGTGAAACAACATGTCTGGTGGGAAAAGGTTCCACAAGGATAAAGAGGCAGAGATGTGGATGTGGAGAAAGATAAGATGGCTTACACGCTCTGCTGCTTCTCTCTTGGCGTTGTAGGTGTCAGTGTTCCTGCAACTCCAGCACACTAAACTTCAGAGTCTCCAACAGTCCACAAGAGACCAGCTACAACAACACAGGACACCACACATATTAAGCCAAAAACATCCACTACATACACATAATGGCCCCAAGGCCTCGTGTTAGTGTTAGCTGGTCTCTCCTGAATGACAAATTGGTTTTCATTTGCTTGACTGTGTTGCCGTTACCACAAATTTAAGCCACAGCCAGTTTTAATATGGTACCTATTCTCTTTCACTTGTTGTACATAAAAATTAGATTAGATATTTTTTTGCTGTGTTGACTTCCCTTCTCATTTTTATCATAAATAAACTGGGCATACACAAACTACACAAAAATATCTACACCAGGACACACACACACTCAGCACGACATAAACCATTTATATAAAATAATCCAGCCGTGTAACTGCTACAGCATTACTGGAGTCTCGCTTTATCAGATGCATCAGAATGATTACAGACAAGCATCGGGCCAGCCTCACCGTCTCTGCATCCAGCAACACAGTGGGACACTGCGAGCGAGACGTCATGACTTCCAAGGAGCTAAGGAACTGATTACCCATTCGTTGGAGCCTTTCCCCGAGAAAGCGAACAGATGCATGTGTAATGGAGCCAAACTTTCTCTGAATACTCTGGAAAAACACACACAAAAAAGAAAACAAAGTAAGATCATTGGAAATAAGCTTACTTGTACACAAGATGAAACAGATAAGGAGCAGTCCTATCAGTCAAAAACTGCAAGAACATAAAAAAAAACCCAAAAAATGTGGTACACATTTACCTGAAAGAGTCGGGAAAACACGTGAAAGTATAAACAGCCGAGGACCCATCTGTGTCTGACAACATCTGGTTGACATGGCAACGCAAGCATCCTCGTCATTGTCATAGGCAACTGGCTGGAATGCAGCCAGGATGGCAGAGAGGAAGGGCGAAGGGGGGGAGAGGCCTGAATCTCTGGGAAGCCGTCGCGTCACCTTCATCTTGGCTAAAACACACACGGGGGCCAATAAGCAGTCAGACATGTTATACCACCACCCCCCCCCCTTTCACTGAAGACAAAAGTAAACATAACACACGCGCATGTCGTCACTCGCAGCAAGTAAACAACCTCACATTGCTGCATCTCTGCTCCCTCACTGAAAATTCTGCTGCAGTGCAACGAGAGCTAAAATCTGCTGCAGTGCTCTCACAATAACAGCGATTAGCATTTAGCATTACACAGACGTGTCTGTTTCTCTCTCGCTCTCTCACACACACAGACGCACACAGATACTCAGGCCTGTGGGACCAAACAGCCTGAAGAAGCAGACAGAATATAAGTATCTAAGCCTGCGCTGCCGAGCGCTGCAACGGACACGGTCTCTGTCTCATCCTAACTACCGCTTCTCTTTCCCGTACTCTCCCCTCGTCTGCAGCTCCACTGTTAGCAGCACTAGCGCACTGCACTCATCCCACACAGGACTGCAGAGAGGTCTATACAAGCTAGGCATTTACACATACTGACTAAACACACACACACACGCACGCACACACACAGTACTGCAAGCAGAGCCAGCTCCCACCCACTGAGGTAAAACGTTGCCGAGTTGTTTCATTTTACTTCTCCATCACATAATCCTCATGCACAGACACCTACATAATGGTTAGTGTCCTGCTGTTTTCATCATCTAAGCTACTCACACAATTGCTTTCCATGCATGCGTGTCTCTGTTAATTGAAAGAACTTCAGTACAGTTACACATGGAGGCGAGTGAGTCTCTATTTTCTAGTTTGTTCAGCAGTGCTTCTAATATTGCTTTAGAGCAGTTTAAAGCCCTGACTTTACAACTGTCTCCAATCAGATTTGGCCCACCTTGAAGTGTTAGGAATGAACTGAAGCCTGCCAACACACGCATAGTTCTGATAGCCACGCCAAGAAAGAAATTAGCTATCACACCATCTAAATCATGTCAAAGAAGTTAGATTAGTCATGCACTGTAGATTAGTCCATATCTTCTTCAGCCACACCTAAACTAGTCTACAATTAAAATGAAAGGTCAGCTGTTTTACTTTAATACATTTTTAAATGGAGCTGTCTGACACAGTCTTCTTAAATGGACAGTTCCATTACTTATTAGTAAAGGTCATTGTAAAAACCATCTAAAAATTAAAGATTTTAGACTGTGTGAAATTAAAATAAAACCAACTGTACAATGACTTGATGAGCTATCAGTCAGTTGCTCAGCAAATTGGTATAATTCCACCATTTATTCAAACACAAAAGGAAATTAAAACTGCATGTCTTTGCATGTCTAAATGTCTCTTATCGATCAATATTTGCTTTTGGGTTTCAGGTAAAAGGTGATTACATGATACTGGCAAAACTGGCACAAAAGCCATCCAGCATTTCTCAGATCTTCTCAAATTCTTTAATACAGTGGTATAATTAGAGATGGCACGATACCACTTTTAATGTCCGATACAATATCATTAATTTGGATATCTGCCGATACCGATATGAATCCGATATAGCTTATTTTGTAATCAATAAAACTGGTTTTTATGAATATCTTGCTGCATTTTGTATAAGTTCATACTCAAGTTTTAAAAACAAGAGACTGAAGCTATGCTGTTATACCTGTATGCAAAAAATACACTCCACCCAAACATTTTATAGTTAGCAACACTGATCAATCTAATAAATTTAAACCTATACCATCCTCCCTATTCTGGTATTTTAAAGAGTACTTACCTACCTAACTAAGAGGGTTGCCAACTCCCAGCAAAAATATTAAGGGAACAACCCCCGCCCTTAATCGATGTAATCAACTTTAATTTATTCAAGTGTAAAACAAATGCACAGAAATCAATTATTTCTATAATTAAATAGATTCAACTTCTTTCTTCAACAGAACTGCAGACTGAAAAATATTTCTTTGTGCCCCCCTTTCCCAGTTAATGCCCTACCTGCCCGCGATAAAACTTGCTAGACCCGCCCCTGCACAGTTACCAGCCGTAAGCTACATAGAAAGGAACCTGGTGTTATTTGTCTCTCAGAAACAATTCATAACTTCCCTTCAACTCATTCATGTCACCTAAAAGTTAAACCCGTTTCTCCATCACCTTTTCAGCTCTGATGATTCAGTAAGGACGTCTCCTGGTTTCATATACATGTGTCCCTCTCACTACATATCCAAATGGATATCATGACCAGCAGCTTTTACAGCTGTGGCTCGGAGAGGGAGGGGGAGTGAGAACGTGTTGGAATGAGAGAAGTGGATGCAACTGCGCAGCAAAGACAGAATAACTCCAGCTTTGTGCCTATTTTTTTTTAATTCTAGCTGAAGTAAGGGACAAATCGCTTCCTTTTCACCTTAATATGGAACTCCGATGGCCAGTCCAGCTGTGGCTCAATATATCAGTTGTTAAGCTTAACGTGGAAATACTATGCAAACATTCAGAGATGAACTTAAGACTCTTGCTTTACTTCTCTCGGAGGTCTGTCTCAGACAACAGCCGCTCTATCACGTGACACACACTGCTCCGATGCGCCGAGCTGGGTTACGCCAAGTAGCGCGTTTTGTGAGGTGATTTTGTGATACTTTGGATCAGATTACATTTTTTATTTCTCTCCGATATCCGATCCGGTAATTTACGTCAGTATCGGACCGATACCAATACGTAATATCAGCTCGGTCCATCTCTAGTATGAATACAAAGAAAGACTCCGAAACACCTACCTGGACATCCCAGAGAAGTCTGCCTCTTCCTCCTCACAGCGCTCATCCAGCTCTTTCAGCGCCTGTGTCACATCTTCTTCCCACACAGACCCACAGGTGCTGTCTGGATCTGCATCCTGCTTCGTCTCTGATGCCAGACAAAGAGGCAGCACCGTTTGGGACTCGTCCTCACAAAGGAGCCCTGGTGGTGTGTCTATGGCCGGCGGGGAGGGGGGGCTGGATCCAAGTCCTCCTGAGGGTCTTGAGTCTCCTGGTGATCCTGAGCATCCTGAGGGTCCCGTGAGTCTGGGAGGTCACACATCTCTTGGGGTCAGAGGGCAAAGGAGGGGCGCTGCAAACCCTGTGTCCTCGCTCACGCTGCTGCTCAGCTCGTCAGCCGCCGTCATGCTTATAGCATCCTGTAACATCAAAGCAGAAGGGGGGCTCAGCATGGCAGGTCCTTTCACATTACAAAACATCCATTAAAATAATATTTTTATTTCAACAGTGGCCGCCAACACTGATACATAAAACACAGATTCACAGTTGAGCCTCTCGTAAAACTTGAATTAAGACCACTGTAGCCTATTCTCAAAGCTCACAGCTTTAATTACACAAGTGGGACTTTTAACTTTGTACCTTTTGCACTATCCAGTTTCTCTGAAATTGCTCTAGATGTCATGTCATAAGCTAATGTCTATTTAAAAAAAAAAGAAAAAAAAGATCACCCAGTATTTATCACAAAAATGCCACTGAAAATTTGACGTCACTGCTAACAGAACAGCAACGTCGCCTGTCAGGGAGTGACAGGCCCACAAATGAATTAAATTAATCGGTGGTGACTCATAACATCTACATGACAACTGATTTATAGACAACTGCATAACTACAGAAAACAACTAATGGACTGAATTAGCAACCTAACAAATGAACCAAGTCATTGTAATAAATTGTAGGCAGACATCAAGCCAGGCCATAATTTATAGAAACATTAGTATTACAAGCATCTAACTGACTCATATGTAAAAGGAGGACATGCCGATACATAGTTGGTAGACGCGCTAATAGGAGAGAGCGATATGTTCCTATGTGCTGATATGCTGAAGATGGCACAGGGGTATTCTAATTAAGAGGTCTTTGCTTTTTTTCCTTTTTTTTTCCTTTCTTTATTATTCAAAGTCCAGTGCATTAGGGATACTGTGCATGGCAGACAGCCAGTACATCACAGAGACAGCAGCTATATTACAGAAAGCTTTTAGAAGTGGTCATGGCCGTCCCGGAGGGAATGAGCAAGACTATTGATGGTTTTATCTAGAGCTCATTACACTAAGAGCTGGGGCTGTGACGGGGAGATGTCCTTGGGATGATATTGAGACCACTTGCTTGGTTGTGTTCCTAAAAGTTACAGAGGTCACTGAGGGATAGATAGGGAACCTGATAGAGAACTGTTTTGCACTATACACACCAATGAATTTAGTGGTTATATTATATGGATATAAAGCTGAAATATGTTAAACTTCAAAATGCCATGTACATGCAAATGCAATCAGAACAAAATGATATACTTACCATTGTTAGTGGAAGTGATAAATGTCAGTAGCAGTAAATACAGAAGGCAAGCTATGGCATGTTAATATCATAGCAAATTTCATTGGCTAGCTTTTGAGTTAACTGCACTTGTAAAACTAAGACACCACTTATAAAGGACTCATACTCACACATGCATCTGCCGAGGATTAAGGAGCTGGTGTCTCTTTCACAAGTTTTTAAATGGAGGATTTAGTTGGAAGGGTCAGTTGCTGTGTTATTGTAGGTGAGGTGAGCAGTAACAGCTGACCTGAGGTGAGCTTTAATTTTTTAACCATTCCCAAAATCATACAATCAAGCCCCACTACTATTAAGGCTGCAAGAGCTACACAGTTAAGACTTCAGCAACCATGCAGAGCAAAGTAACAAAGAAAGAGCAAGAAGCAGCAGAAGCAGCAAACACAAACATGCACACACACGCGCATATATAGATCTTAACCCGACAGCAGCCAGACAGTCCCTCAGAACCAGCACTTTTACTCCATCCTGTCCAAAAGCCCCTAAAGGTAGCTGATCGTTT